CTCAGTGAAAAGCATTTTCCTCCCCTATGTTTGTTGTGTGTTTGTTGTTTGTTGTTATTTTACAGATATTATTATACAGGATTTTAATAACAACAGTTTGAGCAGCACTTTACAATATAAGGAAAACATTACAATCACAATAAAATTCAAGACAAGATGGTAAGGAGGGCCCTGCCCCTGAGGGCTTACCATCTAAAAGGGAGGGAGAAGTTCTACATGAGGTGGTAGCTTTGTGGGGATGAATTGTTTGAGAACGTGATGGTTCAGTATGGGTAAAGGTCGGCTTTAAGGACCCCTTACCTGTTTACAAGATCCAGGCAGATGGAACAGGATCATGGACAATGCCTTTTTCATCAAGCACTCTGATAATCATGTTACTGTATTACTTTTATGTTTGAACAGGTTCACAAAGATAAGTCCCATTAGCCATATAGATAATCCAATGTTTTCAGTCGAATCAGCCCTAACCCATTGACTAGCAACGAGAGAGGAAAGCAGTGTGCAGTACTAAACAGGAAATAGAGTCTGCATATGTAATAAGCACATATAGGCGCCTGGATGTATATACTGTTTATATAGTGTGTGTGTGTGTATACAGTATATATATATAAATATTTAAACATTAAAATATTTAATTCAAACATGTTCACGTTGGAAGTGAGGAGATTAAGGGGGGACATGATTTTCATGTACAAGATGTTCAATGATGATGGCAACATCAGCAGCAAACTTTTTACGGTAAACTCCATGACAAGGATGAGAGGCCAACACCTTAAACTGGCGGAGAAAAGATTTCAGCAGAAGGGGCGAAGGGGCTTCTTCACAGTTCGGGCGATTAGAATTTGGAGCTCACTGCCACAGGAAGTGATCTCAGCTGTGAGTATTGAATCTTTCAAAAAACACTTGGACGATTTCCTGAGATACAAAAACATTCAGGGGTACAGGTTCTGTTAGGAACTCATACACAAGCATGCACATCCAGAGTAACATGCATACACGCAATGGGTTGAACTTGATGGACCTGTGTCTTATTTCCAACTCAACTACTATGTAACTATATATAGTTTTCTGGCAAGTATAGCATTTTAGTATAGTTGTCTGCCACCCTTCATGCTAGACCTCTGTTCTTTTTACTTCCACCTCTAATACACACCTGGAGTAGATGTAGGGGGGTAGGGGGGGGGGGGGGGGGGAGATGGCAAGCAGGGCTAAATGTAAAGCAGAGAAGCCGTTTTGTACAAATGATTTCAGCTATACACTTGTATTCAGCCTGCTTGTGACTTGTCCGCCCCCCCTCCATTGTCTGCCCCCCCCCCACTGGCTGCCTCCTTCTGTGCTGTGGTTTTAGGTGTCCCCTGCTCTTCTGGGGGACCTCAGCCGACGGCAAAGCAGTTTAAAGCTACAGCTTGCGGTATACTGAGCCTAGGGTGACGGGAGGATGCTAGTTTGTGTCCTCCCGTTACCCTACTATGGGGAAAAGCCTTAATCCTATAGTTCTCCTTTAATAGTAACCACAATCACAAATAGATGGGGGTCATGGTTCAACCAGAAACCACCTACAAAACCTTTTTAAAGGTTGCATGGCTGGGATTTTGTCTAAATATGTTACATAATGGCCAGCACCAGCTGATACATTTATTTTGGTTAGAGCGGGCAAGCATAGAGCCAGTCAGGTTTCCCTGATGGGGACATCCATTGGGGATGTGATAGGAATCCGTTCTGGTGGATTGGGGAAGCGTTAGAAATGTAGACAGGTTTTATTGCTGTCTATGCCTTCCTTTTCTGATAACTGACCCCATGATCATTTTTTGTATAATATCTGTATATTGTTTTGTAAAAGATTTATAAAATTACATTTACAGAAATGAAAAGAAGAAATGTACATTGAACATTGATATACCTAATAAAACATTTTTGAATAGCAAGTAGCTATGATCTGAGACAGTACAGTTACAATACAATTTCAATGCAGGAGGGTTAGGAGTGCCCTGCTCTAAAGAGCTTACAATCTAGTAGGAAGGGTCATTGATACAAAAGGTAATAATTGTGTGGGATGAGTTAATGGAAGAAGTAAAAGGACAGTTATTATGTCTAGGTGAGATAGGCTTCCCTGATGAGCTTTCAAGGTTTGCCTAAAGGTGGACAGATTGGGGTAGGGAGCTCCAGAGGATGGGAAACTCTCTGGAGAAATCCTGGAGGTGAGCATAGGAGGAGGTGATGATGGAGCTGGGGAGAAGGAGGTCTTGAGAGGAACAGAGAGGATGTTTAGGTGATATTTTGAGATGAGGTTGGTGATGTAGCTGGGGGCAGAGTTGTAGATGACTTTGTGTATTGTATGTCTGTATGTTGTTGTTAGTATTTTGAACTTTATAAGTTGGGCAAGTGGGAGCCAGTGGAGGGATTGGCAGAGAGGTAAGCATTCATGATAGACTGAAGGGGGGATAGCCTGTGTAGTGAGTGGTAGGACAACAAGGAGGGAGTTACAGTAGTCGAGGTGAGAGATTAGATAGATAATGAGATGAGAAAGATATGCAGTAGATTATAAAAAAACTTTATTAAAAGCGTATATATATATTATACTTTGTGAGAGCATTAAATACAATATTAGAAAGAAGAAATTACTCCACAATATATGGCTTGACCATAGCAAGGAAAAACTACTATAATCCTTCCAAGACCAGTCAGAGACAGGCAAAAAGCAAACCAGTTATTATACCTGAAACCGGCAGGGAGGAAAGCTGCGTGACCACTTGTATGTATTAAAAAAATGATTTTCGGGGGGTTTTTGAGTGGAGAAGGGTTAGAAGAAGGTAGCACATAATAAAATGACTTTACAAGGTTTTGTTCACACTTAGTAATTTTTGGTGTACTTAAAGTGGAACTCCAGCTGCATAACAGTGATACAGATATGAACCAGTCTGGGATCCATGGAGTAATTAAGTGGGCATGGGAGGCCAATGGGGACAAAGGTCGATTATTGTCAATGCAGCTGGTCTGAAAATTCTCAGGCAAACAGTACCTGCATCCAATCAGACGCGGCCATTTTTCGGGTATTTAGCAGCTGTGGAATCCAATAGCATGGCAGGGATTACTCTATCCACGCCGTTTAGCATAGATGGGGGAATTGATGCATCCGCAAGCTGAACAAACAAAAAAAAATCCATAATGTGTACGGCCATCTTTAGACAGTGTCCCTTTTGGAAGATTTCCCCTCCTATTCCTATTCTGATAGAAACTTAAAATTTGGGATGGAAAATTTTTCTTAAATTAATGAAATTCTAACAGTTAATGTGTGGTTTTCGTTTGGGGAAACTCCATTCATTCCGAAATTGAATATTAAAGAACAACTCCAGTTAAACATTTTATTAACCCTTGCAGTGCAAGGGTTAACTGCTTGTTTTTGCTAGGGTCAAAAATAACAAAGTTATACTCACTTGCTGCCCTTCGCCCCTATTCTCATAGGGGCCGAACGGCAGTGAGTGAATAGCCGAATGCCGCCTAGCAGCATTCGGCTCGGCTACTCTGCTCGGTACATAAAAAAAAAAAAAATATATATATATTTTAAGGAAAATAAAATAGATAAATGAAAAATAATTGTAAAAAACGACGCATGCCGACCCGACCGCATGTGGCAAACTCCTGCCGTATAATGTCATAGTGAAGCATCTGACAGATGCCGGCAAAATATAAACAATTGGACGGAGCTAGTGGTGATATCTCCGCCCAACTGTTCCCTATTGGCTGGCACCTGCCAGAGTCTTTTAGCAGGTCCCGGGCATTAAATAACAACTGGGCGGAGCCGGCCGTGCTCCGCCCAGTTGTTATTGTTTAATGATAGATCAGCATCCCCAGGTCAGTTGGGCACGCTGATTTGTCATTAAACTGGGCGGAGCCAGCTGTGAGATCACGCCTGGCTCCAACCAACTGTCAGTTGTGTGGAGATCAGTTGGCTTTGGCCGACCTTTCTCCGCGCTTAGCCTGTCACTACAGCTCAGCCGAGCCGAAGCATATGGGTTCAGCTCGGCTGAGCCGATTGGCTGTTTTTACGCGTTATAGTGAATAGCTTGTACTGCATCCCTTCGGTTCGGCTGAACCGAAGGGCTTCGGTGATGGAAGTGAGCTGAAGGATCACCAGAAGCTACAGCTGGATCCTTTGGCTCAATAGTAAATAACCCTCTAAAGGTGCCCATACACCTTACGATTATCGTACGCGATCGACTTTTCGTCTGACAATCGTAAGGTGTATGGGTAGTGTGCAACCGCCAGTACTGCATGTTCAGAAACTTCAGTCGATCGTACGATTTTCGCAAGGTTGGTGGCGTTTCCGTACGTCAAAAGTCATAAGATTAACACTGCTCATGCGCAAACGAAAATACGCGCGGTCGATTACCGCAATTCGTCCATGTGTTTTTTTTAACTACCGCTGATTGAACCTTGCGATAATCGGGGCAGGATGGGGCCGCTTCCTCCTGTCCATGTTACTGAATTTCCATACCTTAGTAAGGACATGGACAAGAGGAAGAGTCTGCAGGAACCAGAACATTGCATCCCTGATCCAGTGATTGTGGTTGCAATGCTTTACTGGCTTCTATGCAAACAATAAATAAATAAAAATATAATACAAGCACATTTTTTACTTTTATGAAGAAGTGTGCTTTTATTAATTATTTTTGAAAATGTGGCATTTCCTTTTAACTGAATAAACTGAAGAGAGATGATTGGTTGATGTGGGATTCTGTAAATTCCCCCCCAGTAAATCTCGTTTAAACAAAGATCTTGACAAAGAGAAGAAAAAAACTTGGATAGGTGTTCTGTAAACCAAGAGAAAACTTTGTGCTGCAGTTCATGAGACTACTATCCTCACCCCCTCCAGCTGAGCCCACGCACCTCTACACCAGAGTATTGAAGAAGGAGTGGAGTCCGGAGCTGGGATCACACACACTCCTCCTCCTGTCCAGTCTTTGTATTGTAGACGGAGCTCTGCCCTCCATAGACCCCCCTGTAGTCCTCGCAATCACACCATGGAGTCCTGGACTATCCTCCAGCTCAACATGAGCGATCTGGTGAGAGACGCCCCACAGGGCTGTGATAATGGGGCGCTGATGGATCGCTTCGGGGTGCTCATCCAGGCAGTACTGGCTCTGGTGGCGTTCAGTACATTAATGTGTAAGTACATCGAACAATACACAAGATCGCTCTGTGTGCTGCACGTGTCTGCTACTTCCTATGGCTGTGGAACTACAAGTCCCAGCATGCCCTGTGTACAATGCATGGAGTAATGAGCCATGTGCAATGTATTGTTGTTGTGTTGGACTTGTCTGTGTAATGTTTACATGTTTCCTTGTAGCAGGAAATGTGACATAGTTGTTAGTTTCCTTACAGTAGTAATTGTAGTGTGATTGGGATGATCATTGGGCAATATATGGATCAGCCTCCATTCACACCAGTCTGAGCGCTTTAGCCTGCGTTAAATTGAGCGTTTTAGCCCCCATTCACGCAAGCGTGAGCATTTTAGCCTCCATTCACACTAGCGTGAGCATCTTAGGCTGCATTCATATAAGTGTTTTACCCTTCATTCTCATAAACGTGAGCTTTTAAGGTCTGGTTCACACTTTGGCGTTCCGTGAACGTGCGCCAGAAGGGCATCATGCACTTGCCATGCACGCGCGTTCATGCAATGCATCAAAATGTGCTTTGCGCATGCAGTGCCATTACATGATAATGGTACCTCAAACACTACTGGGAAAATGCACACTTATGTGCATAGACAAGTGTCAAACGCCTGGTCAAAAAACTTGGGAAGTGTGCAGTTGAAAATGCTGCATGAGATTCGTTGCCATGTTTTTTGCTCATGTGGCAGCCCACTGAATTGAAGGAGCTGATGTGCGCCAAAAACGCTAGGGAACACATTCATGGGTCGCCAAGTGTGAACTGGGCTGGCTGCATTCACACATAGCCAGTAGACATGTGCGATTCGTTTTAGAAAAATTTGCTCTTCAGCTGAATTTTCCTTATTCAGATGTATCCGAATAACAGACTCCGAATGTCCAAAAAGGAAATTTCGGATGAAATTTGTTAGCGGTAGTCTGTACGCATTTTCGTTTGTGGACAAATTTTCATTGCAGCAAAGTGACATTTAAAAAATGAATTTGTTTTAATGTCACTTTGCTGCAACGAAACGATTACGTAAAGAAACCGCTAACTAATTTCCTCCGAATCCCAAAACAAATTGACTTTCGTACCCGAATCCCGAAAAACAAAATGTCTAATAGCCAGGTCATTTACAGGCATTTTTTTGTGTGTTTTTGTAAATGTGTTTTTCAAGGTTTTTATGCACTTCTTGTAGTACAGAAGCGAAATCACACATTTTGGCCCTATAGACTTTTAAATCGGTGTGCCTGAAAATCCTGCGTTTTGCAAATGTTTTTTTCTGCCACTTCTGTTAAAGTTTAGAGGATTAAAACGACTGATTCTGCCTGAAGTCTGGGTTTGTATCAGTGCAGCTGCGGGATTATGTTTTTACTGCTTTTTTTTTTTGTAGTCTGATGTGTTTTTGATGTGGCTTCGTGCATTTTTTTTTTTTTTTGGTCAATGACAAGCAAATTCTGCTGTGACATGAGAAGGCATAGCCTTGCTTTGAGGAGATTTTCAGCACACAAACTAATGTACAAGCATTTTTCATGTACTTCTACTGAGCTCTATGTCGCCAAAAACGCATGAGGGAAATGTATCAAAACTGCAGCAGATAGAATCTGGAGCAGTTGCCTATAGTAACCAATCAGCTTCTATCCTCAGTTAAGATTTGAAAATGAAAGCTAGAAGCTGGTTGGTTTCCTTGGTTAACTGCACCAGATTCTGCCTACTACATTTTTGATGAATTCCCCTCAATGTGTAGCACCAAAAGAATCCCCAGCACCTCTTCAACAATCGCACTGCGTCGTGTTGTATTGTTGTAAACAGGAAACATTAAGAACAATGTGATTTCAAATGTCATGCATTGGAGTGCGACAGCAAACGCAGGGCAGATCTCTCTAGTGCGAGCAGGGCAGAAAAGAAGCGCCTGTACTTTTTGGATCGATGGCTAGATGCACTGGAGCACAGACGTGAACAATGCAATGGGCTTTTTAATGTTTAGCATTTTGTAATGTCAATATAGAAAACGTTGAGGTATGAATGCCCCATTCATACCTCAACGTTTTCTATATTGACATTACAAATTGACATGACATTAAGGTGATTTCGAAGCATTTTTTTGCATGTGTTTGTACATTTTTATGTGTGCGGTTTGATGCCTTTTTCATGTGTTTTCAAGCTTCAGGTGGTTTTGTTTTTGCCAATGGAAAGCAGTATCATCTGAGACCTCATATGTAAGGATGGGCTCGGGCGTGTTCGCAGCTCCATGTGCCGAGCCCGCCAGGAAGCTGACAGCGGTAAGCGCCAATCACAGGTACTGGGACATTTTCCCGGTCCGCAGCTGCAGAGATCGGGAAATGTCTCGGTGCCTGTGATTGGCGCTGCGCGCTGTCAGCTTCCTGTCGGGCTCGGCACATGGATCTGCGAACACGTCCGAGCTCATCCATACTCATATGTCATCATCCTTATAACTGGTTCCTGTATTTTCTGTGTAGTGTTTTGTACTATCAGAGCTTTCAGTCTGGGGAAAAAGTCATTCCCGATTTCTTCCCAGGCCCTCTGCCTCTTGTCACCCCTCTTGTAATGGGCATCACTGGGGTCATAGCGATTCTTGAAGACCATCACCAGGTTGATGAAGGTCTCCACATCCACCATGGACACTTCTAAATCCTTCATTGCATTTGCAGGCCAGAGTCTGCTAAGAGGAGGAGACCAGTTCAGCACAAAAATGCTCTAAAATGCTAGTGTACTACATTTTCAAGTGCTCCCATTGAAGTCTGTGAAGTAAACAAATGCAAGATTCTACTTGAAAATGCATGACACACAGCAGCACCACACTCAGGTGTGAATGGGCACCGTTGAATATGATTGGAGTCTTCATGTTGAGCATTGTCCTTCAGGAAACATGTGAGAAATTGTTCAGGTGTGAATGGAGACTAAAGGTGGCCATACACTTTACAACCATCGCAAGACCTTAGTCTTGCGATGGTTTTAAAGTAATTTAAAAAACGTACGATCTGCCCATCTTGGACAGGCAGATCGTACTTGTGATCATCGCAAGCCCGCCCCGCTGAGGGGCGGGCTTTCTGATGAGCGCAATGCTGAACGTGCTTGTATAGCTCCCTTGCACATCCTGTAGAGGTGCTGGTAGCCAGAATGTGACGTCAGTCCAGGCACCTCTACAGGGCACATGTGGGAGCTGTAAGCAATGCACATATGGATGGCGCCTCCCATATGGCCATACTTCCAGCCCACCCCACCTCAAGCTGACATGCAGGGTCGGGCAGCATATTTTGAATGGCTGCTCGGCGCGAGAACACACACAATGGGCACACACAATTTTAATATGTTTGGTATCTTATTACTCTGTGCAATCTTATTTTTTTTTATTTTTTTACCAAAAACAATGGGTAATAATATTGTGTTAATGCACATTAAAATGAGTTTGTCTATTTTACTGAAAATTTGGGTTTGATAAATATTATGCAACATCATGGGCATTTTAACGTGTAACGTGTTTTTGGGGATCCAGCTTCATTGACAACACCTAGAGAAAACCTAAAAAGTTAGGCATCAGTTGTAATTTTTAAGGAGCATTGGCTACCTAGCTCCTGAGATTTGGCCAGCACTGGTATATTGTGCTTGTCTGTATTTCATTTGAGTGTACTGAAAACCCAATTCTCAGTTTACACAAGTAACATAAAGAATGCTAACTGCCACCATTTTATTTTACATAGTCTCTGTTTTCAAAATAATAATAATGTACGGGGAAAGGGGATGGGGGTGTTTAGTAATCTTCAGACCTAAAAAAAGAAAGGCTCTGGCAGAAGAGGTGGGAGTAACCCTTAACCACAAGTACAGTGACTATGATTTTTCTTTTGTTTTATAACTGTAAATGAGCAACATTGTAAAACTTCTGTGAGGATCGAACCCCTCAAGTATTGGGGTTATGAAGCTTTACCATCCTGTGAGAATTGACACATTTGCCTGTTAAAGCCGAACTCTGGGCAAACATGTTCTGAACCCTTGCAGTGGGGCTACCCCCACACTGCAAGGTTTAAGTGGTTGTTTTTTTCCCAGGTGCTAAAAAAAAAAGGTATTCTCACCTGAACCATTGAGCTGACTGGCTGCTACTGTGGTCCTTCAAGCCTGTCTCCCCATCTGCTGCAGAGATGGTATGTCCCTCTGTGTCTTCACATCCTGTACACTGCATATAGAACATGATAACCCAAGGATCCTTAGACACTGCAGAGGTGAAGGAGAGAGGTTCCAGGGACCGCTCTAAGAACAAGGATCGGGTGAGTATAATGTTTTGTTTTTTTCCAGCCCCTAGACAAAAATGACCTCTTTACCCTTGCAGTGTGGAGGTAGCCCCACTACAAGGGTTAAGAACATTTTTGCCCGGCGTTCTCCTTTAAATATAATTTGTAATTTTAGATTGAAGGAGGGCAACTTGGAAAATCATTTTGAACATTTCTCTCAGTTTAAACTTCCCAATATTAACTGAAGATGAGCATTCACTGAGAATCAATGCTAACTGATGCTTTAGAATACAGAACTCTAGCAAAAATATTTTTTTGATTACTTCATAAGAGGAGTTTTATGAATAGAATTTATGTCGGGTCCTTGTTGTAGAGGTCTTCCCATCCCTTCCTGTTCCAGTAACCACAAGGAATGAAAGAGAAGTTTTTAGCATTGCTGTTGTCTCTGTTAAGGTGGCCATACACTTTAAAACTTTACACAAAAGTCTTGCGAGGGTTGTAAAGTACTTAAAAAAACGCACGATCTGCCCATCTTGGAAAGGCAGATCGTACTTGCGATCATTGCAAGCCCGCCCCCATGAGGGGCGGGCTTGCGATGACTGCAATGAGGGGCGGGCTTACGATGACTGCAAACGGGCAGTGTGCTCGTGCGACCGTTTCTACTGTACGGTCGCACGTCTTTTGTCGAACAAGCAGGCTGTAAAACCCACCGGGAATCGTACGATTCTCAGCAAGTTAGTGGCCTACTTGTTCGACAACTGCCGAACGGGC